GAGAGAGAGAGAGAGAGAGAGAGAGAGAGAGAGAGAGAAAGAAAGAAAGAAAGAAAGAAAGAAAGAAAGAAAGAAAGAAAGAAAGAAAGTCAGTCTAGATTTTGGAGATTCATGAACTTCTTAGTGTTAGAACATGGGCTTGTACCTTTAGACCGGATCCCAGAGTCTGAATAGGCCAAGCCTATTTTAACATGATTCTAACAAGTCAAATTTTTCCTTTGCTCTGGGGACCAGGGGGACTATTGAGAATATTTTACAGGCTGCTATCTGAAGAGGATCCTCTCTCTGCCCTACCATTCCAGTCACGGCAGTTCTCTCTCTCTCTCTCTCTCTCTCTCTCTCTCTCTCCACACACACACACACACACACACACACACACACACACACACACACTCTTAATGAAGCTCCTTTCCAGGTTGTAAAGAGAAGGCCGACCTTCCCTGGAAGCCTCTTCATACCCCATCAAGGGATGGACCTCACAGATTGTATGGTTTCTTTCTAATGCTCTCCCTCCCAGCTGGAGGTCTTCTGATCTCAGCTTCGAGGCCTCCTCATTCTGACAAAGCTCATTGGATGGAATTGTGTGTCTGCGTCCTTTCTGGACTAACCGTTGTTGCTCATGCTATTACACTGCCGAGTGACCATGAACAGATACTGGAGGGAACACTCTGCTATCAGGACATTTCCATTGGTCAAGCAACACATTGTGTGATATGATATGAGACCTATTTCAAAGGCCCAAGGCAAGGCAGACAGGGAGTAGAAGTCTCCACCTATGGACAAATATATTTATAACAACCGCTGGTTTCATTCTTAGAGGGAAAAAGAACATATTAGCAAACAGAGGACTCAGATCACTTGCAGGAAATAAACAAAGGAAACATAGAATGCTTACCTGGTTTAACGTCCAATGAATAGGTTACAGAATGGAAAGATCCAGGGATTTTTGTTAAACAACAATACAGACCACTGTCAGTCTGAACAGCATTCTCTATGGTCAAGGACACGTCTCCTTCAGAAATACGCCCCTTTAGCTGGTATCGGCTGCTCCTCTGATAGGTGACTTGATATGCATTGGCCCGGACAAGAGTTCTATAATTATTAAAATACTGACATTCCCCGAGGTCCCAACTCATGTAACTGATTCCAGTGTACGTTGAGTAAATACACGGCAGTGTGACAGGGTGACCCACCACCCCCTTCACGATTACGTAAGGATCCACAGCACCTGTGACGGGAAAGGGAGAGAAGAAGTGGAAAATTAATACCCAGCATTTTCCTGGATTTTTGTTTTTGTTTTTGTTTTTTTTTTTTTTTTCAGAAAAAAAATATGAGGGTAGGGACACCAGTGAGGTTTCATTATGGGTATGAAACTGAGGTAAATGATCACCCACTGAGCTCCAGCTCCAGCCCTTCTTTACCAGTGTGTGTGTGTGTGTGTGTGTGTGTGAATGTGTGTGTCTCTGTGTGTGCTGTGTGTGTGAATGTGTGTGTCTGTGTGTGAATGTGTGTCTCTGTGTGTGAGTAAATCTTTATGTCTAAGTGTGTGTGTGTGTGCCTATATGTGTATGTGTGTGTGCATGTGTATGTGTGTGAATGTATATGCTGTGTGTGTGTGAAAATGTGTGCTGTGGGGGGGTGACAACTTAATTTTTGTTGTTGTTATCATTTGGTTTTCTGAGCCAAGCTATTCACTTTGTTGCCTTGACTAACCTAGAACTTGCTACATAAACTGGGCTGACTTCAAGCTCCCAGAGCTCCACTGCCTCTACCTTCCCAATTCCCTGATTACATGTACAGTCTTACAGCATGAATTTGAAGACTATAACCATTTTCCTGTTAGCATGACTAGTCCTTGAAACACACACACACTAAGCAGAGATCTCTTCTTAAAAGTTGGTGAGATTCCAAAATTTGAGCAAGACCTACTTGCAAAGTAAGACCATATAGTCAGAGAATACGCAACCAATAACTTAATGATGCAATTTAAAAAACTGAAATAATTAATACAATTCTTTTGGGGATGATGGAATAGAATTCCCAATACCAAGAGCTTCCATAGTGACCTTTCAAGTACTTCTGAGAGCTGAGGATATAGCTCAGTGATACAGTGCTTGCCTAGCCCATGCTAGCCCCTGTCTTGGATCCCCAGCACAGGAAACAAATAAACAAAAGCATAAAACAATGAACTGTGATATTCACTATCTAATCTCCTATATGCAGTTTGGTACATGATCTAGAAAGCACATTCCTTATTCTAGAAAATAAGTATGTTTCTTACGGGGGCATCCATTCCCTCATTTGCCAAATACCTTTTAGGATCACAAACAAAATACATGGTGTTTTAATTAAGTCATAGAAATATATTTTATTTCTCACAGGATCAAAAGTTTGAGGTGATCCTCAGCAACCTACGGAGTCTGAGGCCAGCCTAGACTAACTTAGAACATGCCTCAAAGACAATTATGGTATCCATTCATTGCCCCTTTTCATAGAACATTCTGAAGTAGAATGGTTTTCAGTTATATAATTGAAAATGGGTTTAAAAAGCAAAAATGCACAAAGAAATGGAATGAAGGTTGACTTGGAGTCATCATCCTGTATGGAAAGCTCAATTTTTAGTTTTTTATTAACCCTTGACTATAACAAGCATGCATGCGCACTCCCTCTTGCTTGTCTGAAACATGCATGTACATGTAATCATCCTTACATATGACATATGACAACCATCATATGCATGCATGTGCACTCACCCTTACTTTCCATCACAAGCATGTACCTGCACTCAACCTTACATGTCCATAACATGAATGTATGTGCTCTCACTCTTAGCCTGACATATTCTTTTGGATCATGTTTATTTAGCTGTAAGTTTTGGAACTTGCACAAGTTAATAAATTTCTTTGGACCTACAATTTATCCTGGTTCTCTGCTCATTGCATAACCCATAATCAAAAAAGCCCAAGGATTGTCATCTCTTCTGCCATCTCTAGTCTCCTCAGCATCCCCCAGCTCATCCACTCACTTACCTGGGAGAAGAAGTATGAGACTAGAAATGAAGACTTGAGGATGCATCATGGTGCTGACCTGGAGGACAAGGAAAAGAATCTCCGGTTGTTGTGGCCCTCAGCACGCTGTACCCAGGCAGGTCTGCATTCTGACTGTGACTCACACAGGCCTCTCTGCCAGGGACCCTGTCCACCCTAACACCCTCTTCTTTCCTGGTCCTTCCTCACAGACAGACAGCGATCTCACTTCTGGTCATGACATAAATAAGGCAGCAAACAGAGAAAACTGGAGAGAGAGACAAGAGTGTGTTCTCTTGGTAGAACTCTAGAAGCAGAGACCAGCCCTCTAATAGCAAAGACAGACTTGTCCTCTGGTGAACACAGAGCTGTTGCTGCTCAGAGCCAGTAGTTAGTCCCTGAATCTCAATCAATAAAACACTAGTGAGACGGACTAAGAGGGAATATGAAGCATCTCTCATGCTTACACACACAGTGTCTGAGATCATGTCTTCCTGAAGAATATCTAGAGACACACAGAAAAACACTGGGGACAGATCAAATCCTTGCATTCACAGAGCCCCTCCATGCCTAGATTTATTCTTAGGCAACCTGGTCAGTGAGGAAGAGACCTGGTCAGTCGTTCTCATCAACTTAGATCATAAAACTCAATATGAACAAATTCAACAGAACTGCAATCTACGGGCTGCCATGTATGCTTCAGCATTGCTAGGGCATAGATTTCTTTCTTTCTTTTTTTTTTTTTTTCAAAATACCACTAATGTTTGCTCAACTTTTGGAGAATCTGCTGTGAAGGAGACAATGGGCTATTTACTCAGAAGCACTGAATCTTTGTGGAACCCCCTAAGGCAGCTACTTTTAAGCCCATTTATGGTGGATGTTATGTGTCTTGAGATTCCAACATCTGAATTTCAATGTTTGCTTCTTAATTGGTAAATCATAAAAACATGTGTAAGCCTGACGAGTACTTCATTAACGCCACTTCTAGTCAGAAGATTCCAGGACTTTCTCTCAGGGACGACTTTGCTCTGTTATCATTCTTAAAGATGGTCATAGTGCAAGGCAGTGGTGACACACACCTTTAATCCTAGCACTTTGGAGGCAAAGACAGGCAGATCTCTGTGAGTTCAAAACCAGCATGGTTTACAGAGCAAGTTCCAAAACAGGCTCAACAGCTACAGAGAAACACTGTCTCAAAAACCAAAAAAAAAAAAAAAAAAAAAAAAAAAAGGAAAATAAAGGTGGTAATAGCTGTCATGGAGCCTTTATGAGCTCAGCATCACGGAGGCCTGGGACCCTGCACTATTACACTAACAGCCCCTGTCCTTAGAAGGGATCAGAAAACTAATGCTGCAAACTGCTGGCCAAACACTGAGAATGACGTTAGGGGATATTTTCAATATCTTATTTCTTCAGAACATATAAAACCAACACGAGATACAGCTATTCTACATTTTGACAAACTAAAATAGTTGGTAGGACAAGGTACCAACCATCCTGTCCCTTTAGAGTTCTATTGAGGAAGGGCCGTGTACTCGGGCATTCACTGCCTCACACAGTCTGCCACCCTTCTTGACACAAACTGTCACTGAGCCATCTCACAGGGTGTCCTATGGGCTATTGCTCATAAAATGAAGGGAACAGACATGGATGGCTAATAGCTTTCCAGGATCCCAAAGGAAACCTTCTCTACATTCTGGAATTCAACTGAGTAACTAGGTGAACTCTGTCATGGAGTAAGCACCTTGCTGGTGGCTGGAAATCCTTTTCTGTCTTTCCATGCTTGAGAAGAACACGAGTCCATCTCAAATACTGACGTTTGAGTTGCAGTTCCCTGTAGAATCCACCTATGAAGATCCCGCAGGGAGACTACGGAGGGGTGGGAAGTTGAAGATGAAGAGCCCTAAGAGTTCTAGTTAAAACTGATGACAATATTCCTGCCTCTACACCCAGAACGCTGAGATGACAGGTGTGTGCCACTCTGACCAGCCAACAGTAGATTCTTACCAGATGAGCGTGTCATTGTGTCTCGGCTCTGTACAGTGTTGTAGCCTGACTTAGCTCTTGAGATGTAGCTACTACAAGTGACTCAAAAAATATTTTTTGAGACAGGGTCTCTCTATGTACCCTTAGCTGTGTTGTCAGAACTCACTCTAAACTTAGAGATTTTTTTTTTGTCTCAGTCTCCCAAGTATTGGGAATGAAGGTATGTGTCACCACACCCAGATAGATTGAGTAAATTTTTTTTAAAAAATGTTTATGATATCTTAAAATACTATGTCTCTGTGTGGCTCTGTGCACTTGAGTGCAGGTGCTTGCTGAGCCCAGAGACATCAGGTCCCCTAGAATCGGCATTATAGGTAGCTCTGACCTCCTGATGTGGATGCTGGGAACTGAACACACATCCTCTACAGGAGCAGCACATGCCCTTAACCGCTGAGCCATCTCTCCAGTGTCCCGCTGAATGGACTTCATTTTATTTTTTTTCATCTCATTTGAAAGCGAAACTCAAAATAATAGTTCACAGGTTAAATGAGGGAGAGACTTGCAGGATAGGCCCTGGAGAGTGAAGACACAACCGCCCCACAGTACCTGGAAGTGAGGGGAAGTATAGGTCAGACAGACAGACAGACAGAAAGCTGAGAGGATGAAACAGTCTGGAGGAGGATTGCACCAATTCTCTTCAACATAAATGCATACATTTACAAAAACTTTATGAAGGTTTTCTCTAAACATCTCCCTCAATATTTAAAGGATTCAATGACTTCCCAGTCATTAAAACATAAAAACAAATGCTAAAAGTTGTTCACCAACCCACAATGGAAACCCCCTTCCGCTCTCCAACACTCCAACTAAAGCAAAATTTCCTACTTCTGGCCAAGCTCGCACACCTAGCACGGGACCTGCAGCTCTTGGGAGGCTCTCCCTTTTCTTCAAACAAATGGTTTCTTACAAATATTTCTACTTTACAGACCACAAAAGTCAAGGAACAAGACTGCAAATGTATCCATGCCCTCCGCTCAATTACACGCACCTCACTGGGCCATTTCCATGTCATATACAATATTACACTTTACTTAGACATGGGGCTAAATACATAGGGCTTAATCTAAAAGGACCAGACAATTTTCTATAGATTTCTTCTTATTTCTCATGTTAACTTTGCTTAAGATAATTTTAATAATTCATCTACGAAAGTCCATTATTCCATTCCACCTTCCAAGAGTCCTAATACTCTGTTGGATGCTAAGTTGCCCTAATATCTAGAGACTCACTCCCCATTGTCCTTATGTCCTACACACAATCAATCCCACATCACCTCATATGTAATTCTACATGGTACACAAACTCCAAATGCTGATTGCTTCTTCCAGCATGAGTCTGCAGAAGACTGTACTCACCAGTTAGATAGGAGAGCCACAGCTTCTTGTAAGCGCCTCTCCGGATGGTCCTCTGCTGCTGATGGAGTCTTCCAGATCTGCCCATGGATAAAGACTAGTCTCTTTTGTAACTCCATCGTTATCTCTGGGCAACACCTCTAAGTGTTTTGTCTTAAAATTGAGTCACTCTAGTTCAACAACTTTTTGCCAGATAGCATCTATTCATTCTTATCAGGAAACCTTAAGAAAGTAATTAAACTAGCACCTGGGAAGCAGAGGCAGGTTGATCTTGTGAGTTCCCGGCCAGCCTGGTCTATGTGGTAAGACCTTTTCTCCAAGACACAGTAAAACAAAACACAAGAACCAAATTTCTGCTGGGCTGTTTCTAGAGCCTCACTCAGCAAAGCTCTTCACCTGAGTGCAGACTCCAGGCCTGGAGATCATGATGACCATTAATATGGCTTTTTTGATAATAGGATTTTAAATACCTGGAACAAATTTCTCAACTTGCAGATGAATAAAGTGAAAGGCAGAAGAGGCATAGAATACAGATAGAGCCCCATGAGGGTCCCAGTGCAGAGGCAAAAGTGCAAGCTGACTCCTTATACTCACTGGTCTGCCATTCAGCTACCATCGTCCTAACACATGTTCCTTACAGCCCATGTTAACAGTGGAAGAGTCTCAGCAAATGAGGGCAGATGAGAGTCTCTGCTTGCAGAAGTGAGGGAGAGAGGATGCAACTTCCAAAGTTGAGTTTCGCCATGCTCTGATGCCACTTTCAGGTCTACTAACTGGTCTAAACAGGCTTCCAAAGTTTGGTAGTTGTGATCATTTTCTATTCTGGCAACCATAGTTGCTACACTGTTCAAAGCAAAATGTTTCCAGAAGGTGTTGTCACTTTGCAGGGCTTCCTCATCTCCCCAAACCAAAGACAGAATTAAATAAACCATGTCTGGACTTCTTAAAGATGCTGAGGACAATGTCACAGATCTTCTTGGAGTTAAAGCTTCTCCTAAACCATCAGCATCTGAGTGTCTCTAAGATGCTGCCCATACTCCCATTTGTGGGAGGACAGAGAGTTGGGAAAATATCATAACATTAGGTTTTACCAAATAGAGTTAGTATAATCATTTCAGTTTGGATGTACAGTGTTGCTGTTTGTTTTCCTTGTTCTGAGACAGGATCCCACTATGTAATGCAGGCTAGCCTGAAACTCCTATGTAGCCAAGCATGACTATAAACTTGCCATCCTCTTGCCTCCCCTTGTGCTGGCATCACAGGTGTGTGCCACCATACATGGGTTTCTGCTGTGCTGAGGTTACAACCCAGGACCCCATGTATGCTTGGCAAGTGCACTAAAACTGGCTTCCATCCACAGCCAGGATGGCCATCTTACAATGAACTCTACACTCAAATCTAGATGGCCCTGAGCACCAAGTAAACTGCCCATGCCAGGGGAGCTCTATAAAATATGTGCTAAGTCTTGTGGTCCTACTCTGGGGCTGTGACCGTAAACAATGTGGACTCCACTGATTAACAGTGCATTTTATAGAGGAGGGAGACATTTTATTACAACTCTGTGGCCTGAAAATATCTCCAAGAAGTACAATGTTTTAAATAGGAACCAATTTTAGCAAAAACATGAGACAATGACAACTTATTTACATACATTTGTCTAGAGGTGGAGATGTCATGAAAAAGTCACCAGACTCCTCACCGTGTCTCTCGGGTAGAGAAGCAGCTGCAGTAGGAGAACTGTAGTTTGTAGCTGTATGCATTTTATCTTTTTATCATTGGAGATTGTAAAAGACTCTTTAATATATGTTCAAAGGATTTTTTGTTTGCTTTTAAATTTGTTTGATATTTGTGTGTGTGTGTGTGTGTGTCTATACATGTGAGTGTGTATACATGTGAGTGTATGCCACATGCATTCCCTTGGAGAGTAAAAGAGGGCAATGGATCCCCTGGATCTAGAGTCATAGGTCATTATACCCTCCACATGGAGGGAAATTCCTCCAGGTCCAGTGGAGGAGCTGCAGGCACTCTGAACTGCTGACACAGCTCTGCAGCCCCACGCTAAACATGTGACATAAAATTAGATGAAGGGGCAGCAGGAGCCACAGCCTGAGCCTTGAACTGAATAAGGGCGGAAGCAGCTGAGCGACAGATCTATCACCCTGCTTCCTGACTGTGCGCACAATGGCACCACCATTGTGCCTCACGTTGCTGCTGCCACAGTCCCCACCATGATGGACTGTAACCTCAAAGGGTGAGCCAAAATACTTCCTTCCTTCCTCGAAAGAGTGAACAGAAAATAAGGATTTTAAAAAAGGAAAACAAAGCAAGTCAACAAGTCTCCAATTATGTCTTGTTACAAATAAAAGTACTTTCATTAACATGATTTTATTTTGTCAGCCTAATTATGGCCTTCTTTCTTCTTTTTTTCTTTCTTTCTTCTCTTAATAAAATAGATTGTACCAGAAGGACGCACCAAGTGTGTGGAAGGACAGTTGGCTACACACACACATATGCTACACTAAGAACACCTTTCCCTCTACAAAATACCGTACTACATGACCATGAGTCTAAGGATGGACATTAGATTCTGTCACACGTGCCAGCTTATGAAATCATCAATTCCCACTTATGGAAAACACACTCCAATGAACCATCTGTATTCAGTGGAAGTCATTTGAATTTCATAAAATTACTTTAAGCAAATTTAATGCTAAAAGTTTGTATTTCCAGAGCAGGAGACAAAGACATGGTGAAGCGCTCCCTCCCAGTGTCCTTCAGAATGCAGTGGCAGCAGCTCTGCTCCCGGCTCCCTGGGTCTTGCTGCTCCATTGCCTGGATACTGACCTATCCTGCTGCACTCTGACTTCCTTGAAGAAAAACTCATGAATCTTTTTTTTTCCTTTTTAAAAGTTTTTTAAAATATTTTATTTCTTTTCATGTGTATGAATATTTTTCCTACCTATGTATGTCTGTGCACCACATGCATGCCTGGTGCCTAAGGAGGTCAGAAAAGAGTCAGTCAGATCCTTGGGAACTGGAGCCAAAAGCAGTTTTCAGTCATCGTGTGGGCACTGGGACTCAAACCCAGGTCCTCTGGAAGAGCAGCCTGCACAACTAAGCACTGAGGTTTCTCTCTAGCCCCTCTTCATGGGATTGCAATCCAGCAGGCATGGGCTCATCCTTCCAATCACAGCACAGAACTCATTTTGCACCAACTATGAGTCAAACACTAAGTAAGCTCCTGAGGTATAGCAGTTATGATTAGTATTTACTCTCTGATAAGAGCTGGACTGGAATAAACTACCCAAGAAAAACTGACTAGGGACGAGAAGGATGTTTTCTGGGCAACACATGTAATTGGGAATCTGAATGCTACAAGGCAGCCCTGCAAACATCAGAGAGAAGAGTCTTAAGAAAGGGAACAGCCATGGCATAGGAGCCAGGACCAGGAGAACTCAGACTCTCCTAGCAGCAGACAGGAAGCCAGTGTGGCTGAAACAGAGAATCAGGAAGGAGAGGTGGGCTAAGGTGGGAGAGAGGCAATCCCCCAGGCAATGGCTGAAAGGCTCCTCTACAACAGAGCAGATGGGTCCTCCTGAGAATCTTAGAGCTGGAATTCTTGGGCTACCAGGTGAGGACTCTGGACTATGAGGACAGCAAGAGTGGAGCAGAGGCCCCAGTTAGGACACAGATTCCCAGAAGGGAGAGGGAGGAGAGAGGAGGCAAATGAGCATAAAAACCCCTGGGCTTCCCAGAAGCCTCCTGGGAATTGCTTGAGTAAGCACTCTGGTTCTGTTTAAATCTCTGCCTGTCAGGCACCAGCCTCCTGACTGCTGGATTGTGGGTGTGTCCACTCACACCTGTTGAACTGGATTCTGGGACTCAGCCCGGCCACTCCTTATTACAACATAGGCACTCTGTATGTATGTTTGTCCTTTGTGCAACTCCTAACAGTGGGAATAAGGGCTGTCTTCAACTCTTTACAGGCTTTACAGGGATCCTACTCTTCATACTGGTGGCATTGCCCAGCCTTAATAGATGGGGGGGGGATGCTTAGTCTTACTGCAACTTGGGATGCCACACAGAAATGGAAGAGGAGTGGATCGAGGGAGTCTGTGAACAGAGGGAGGAGAGGGTGGAAGGAACTGGGAGAAGAGGAGGGAGGGGTAGCTGATGCTGGGATGAAAATAAATCAATTAATTTAAAAAAAATTTAAATGGCCTGGAGGGATGGCTCAGCCGTTAAAGGCTAGGCTCACAACCAAAAAAGTATAGTATTCTTGGGGCCTTGGATTTAACTAGAGTAGAGTGTTTGGCTAGCCTAGACTGAGGCCTGGGTTCAACACCCAGCATAGTAATGTACACAGGCAAGGGCAGCATGCAGAAGAGAGAGATCACAAGTTCAAAGGTCAACACTGCCTACGTTGAGTATTTGAGGTCAGCCTCGGCTACATGAGACCCTGTCTAGAAAAAGAAAAAAAAGAATAAATTCTTCTTTGTTTGTTTTATTAATTGCTTTGAAATAGAGAATGTATGTTTAGCTATTATCCTAGATTGCCTTCTATTGCTGTGATAAACGCCATGGCCAATGGAAATTTGGGTAGAATGTGTTTATTTGGTTTCCTGGTCACTCTCTATCATTGAGGGAAACCAGGACAAGAGCTCAGTCAGGGCGGATGTTAAGACGCAGAGGGAAGCTGCTTACTGTCTGCTCAGCCTGCTTGTCTACACACAGGAGGCCACTGCCCAGGTGGCACTGCCCACCGTGGCCTGGACCCTCCCCCATCCGTCATTAATCTTGGAAATGCGCACAGACACACCACAGGCCAATCCTCAGTCCAGGTTCCCTCCTCCCAGGAGACTCTAGTTTGTGCTGTTGACGAAAACTAAGCAGCACGGCTGTCACTGAGTGACGTCATCTGAAATCTGTTACTATGCTTTGGTCTTGTTACTCCAAGTACGACCACACGCTTTGACACACCAGCTTCACACTTAAACTCTAGGCCTTCACAGCATGAAATGTCCACATACGGTGTTTTTGTTTTGTTTTGTTGTTGTTGTTATTGTTATA